TTGCCGCCAATGAATACCGCCGAATCTGTCGATTCATCTTGTAGTGATGCGTCAAATGCAACGTAGATTGAATTTGGTATTGATGACGTGAAAAATAATAACGGTAACTCCATTGAAATGATTCAAAACTAAAGTAACGAGCCAATTTTTAAAAATGTAAGGAGTAGAAAGTACAGATATTTGTGTAAAAATGTGAGGAGTAGAAGTAAAAAGTCGCCATAAAAAAAGTAGTAAAGTAAAGTAAAAATATCAGAAAAACCTACTTGAGTACAGTAACGAAGTATTTGTACTTCGTTACTTCCCATCTCTGAAAATATGTGAATCAGGAAATTGTCTATAAACCAAACTGAACGATTGTTTTTCTCTACTTCAAAAAACACTTTAGATTTTCAAATGGGAAAATTTTCTATTTTTTATTTTTATTTAAAAATGTAATGTATAACATAGATGCATAAAAATCTCATTTTATTTCAGTGTTAAATTCTGTTTAAATTAACAGATTATAATTAAAAATGTCTCCGGACCTTTAGTGGTTGATAATTTTCTTTATTCGGACTTTATTCTGGTTTTTAATTGGTTACTCTGCTATAAAGTGTCTGTATGTCTTCTGTGGTGGTTCTGGGATCAGATGTAATGAAGTTGAGGAGCAGCAGCTTCTATCTGCTCCTTTAAGGCTCTGACCCATCAGAACCATCCTGCGACCCTCTGCGGGTCCCCGAGCCTCAGCTTGAACCGCTTCCATGTCTCTGCGCGTGCCCGTGTGCGGTTCAGCGCAGGTGCTTAATCGCGGCGCGCATCCAGTTGAAACCTGGCCAGGATCCAGGAAGCAGCCAATCAGAGAGCGGCTGGCAGGAAACACGGCGGTCAGGAAGAACCAGTCCGGACGGTTCTGTTTCACCACCTGCTGCCGCTACTGGTTCTACTGGCGGCTCGGTTCTGGTTCAGCTGGCCGGGAGAAGTTAGCTGGACCCGGAGAGGGAGGCGGTACCGACTGTGAGAGCAGCAGGGAGCACCTGCCCGCCTCCAGGAACTAAACTGATCCCAAAGGGAGCCGAAACTCCGGCGGACACCTGTTGTTGCTGCTTCCAGAACCGGAACCTGAGGGACCGGGACCGAACCGGACCGAGGTGGAGTCCTGATGGGGTTCAGAGGGCTGTAGACGGACTGAGGGACAGAGAGGAAGAATGTCTGTGAACGAGCTGTTCACCAAGGTGAGTCCCGGTTACCTGACCCACACCTGCCAAACACAACTCCCGACCCAATCAGAGGGAGAGCTGCTGCTGGAACCGGGTCCGCTCCGGTCCGGTGGGTCCGAACCTGGTTTTGATTCAGGTGGATTTTGAAGCTGAAGCTGTGATCCACCTGTTGCTGCTGCCTGAGTCTGATAAGTGTGTGTGTGTGTGTGTGTGGGGGGGGGGGTCATTACAGTTCTGATGGGTCCAACAGGTCAACGTTTACATACAGGGGCGGATTTAGGAAATTTGGGGCCCTAGGCAAAGACAGGCAGGGGGCCCTCTGAGAGGAAAACGGATAAAACTACGGAAGAGGATTAGGGACATTTGGAAAAAAAGTAAACTGATTTTTAAATATTATTTCAGTTTAATGTGGGGAAAAAAGTCAGAATTATGACTTTAATCTCAGAATTCTGACAGCTAACGAACATGTTAGCATCAAGCCGTAGCCATGTCTTTTTTTTTAGATTAGCTCTCTTGTTTTAATCACCTTCAGCTCTTCCATTAATCAAATATCACCACCAGGGACGGAAAAAGTCACCTAATTGCGTAATTTTCCACCAACG